AGAGCATTGGCTGTTCTTGCAAAGGACCTGGTTTAGTTCCCAGCCCTCAAGTGCTGGCAATTACTCCAGGTCCAGGGCATCTGACCCCCTCTTCTGATCTCCATGGCACCAGGCATGCATGTCATTCATAAACACACATGCAGACAATCACTCATACACACAAATTTAAAATAAATTCAAAATTCAAGGGAGAGCCCATGGAGCCAAATTGGTGGTTTAGAAAACATGCCGAGGGGCTGAGGAGATGGCTCAGTAATTAAAAGCACGGGCTGCTTTGCCTGAATCCTGAGTTCAATTCCCAGCACCCACATGGCAGGCAGCTCATCATTATCTGTAACTCCAGTTCCAGAGCGTCGGATGTCCAGTTCCCTCTTCTGGCCTCTGGGAGGCACTGCATTCCAGGTGGTGCATAGACAAATGTGCAGTAAAAACATACGATCACAGAAAATAATAAAATAAAAAACAAACAAGTGCAGAATAATAATCAAATAAATGATATTTTTTTTGAGACAGGGTTTCTCTGGGTAGCCCTGGCTGTCCTGAATCTCACTTTGTAGACCAGGCTGGCCTCGAACTCACTGAGATCCACCTGCCTCTGCCTCCTGAGTGCTGGGATTACAGGCATGCACCACCACAACCTGGACAAATATATAATATTAAAAAAAAGAGACGCACACAAAATAAAGCCCATTGTGGACACCGGGAAACAACTAGGGGACACCGTGTGTGAGGACAGTGTCCACCCCAGAGTCATTGCTCACTCTGAGAATGGAAGGAGTTGGCACTCTGGGCAAGGCCGTTCTCAGCTGCTCTGACACACCTCCTCCCCCTCCCTGCCCCACCCTTTTCTGCTCCAGCCCCTGTCTCTGTCACTCAAAGGGCTGGCTAGGCTGGGCAGCTATGGCAGCAGCACTAACTTGGATTCCTCTCCTTGTAGGCAAGTTGGGGATCTTCTTCGGGGGAGGGAGAGAATGAGGGGCAGAATTTAGAGGTTATAAGGTAGAAGAGTAGGGGATCCTCAGAAGAGGGGTTTGGGGTGGGTGAAGTAGGACCTAGAGGGTTTTTTGGGGGTGGGTAATGATAAGCCACTCAAGGATCCAGGGGCTGGGAGCTGGTCTCTGGATAATAGGAAATTTTGAGAGCAGAGGTGTCCTAGAGTCCCCAGTGAGCATGAGAGGACAAGGGAAGAGGGTCGTGGGCCCTTTAATGAGCTGACTAGGCCGTTACTTCTGGCAGACCAGGCTAAATTTGGCATTAAGAGGGAAGGCGGAGGCAGCCTGGGCAAGTCTACTTTGCTGGGCTTCTATCGGCCCACATTGCAGGCCCTGTTCTGTGTTCTTCTCTGGGAGTTGGGGGTCTTAGAATGGCTACCCTTCTTCGGAGGGTGTTCTCAACCCCAAGCCTCTCAGACATTCAGCATGGGCTTTTTTCCCAAGTAACCTGAACACACACAGCTTACCCCTTTCTCAGCCAAACTTAGTTTCTTCCCACTGTGGACTTAACCGTGGAGTAGAAAGATGCCTGGGGTCCCTTCCATGAATCCAAAGCCAACAAAAGTCTGGGGCTTGTCATCCTCTAACCTGTGAAGCAAAGCAGGGCCTGCAGCCCACCACCTGGAGGCAGCCAGGAACCCTCAGCTCTCGGCACATCGGGAGCACAGTGTGGAAGGGCGCTCACCCCCTACCCATGACTGAAGCTGTGTGTTTGGGGCTTATGGGGTTCCCACAGGTCTTCTGGCAGGGTTGAGGGACACCAATGCCCAGCAGACAACCTTATATCCACTCGTGGGTCGTGTTTTTGTGCATCCCTTGGAACATGCCACCTTCCTGCGCCTTCCAGAACACATTGGTGAGAGAGGGACCAGATGGGCTGGAGTGTGCGGATCCAGATCTCCTGTCCTGTCTCTGGTTTCCAATCCCTTCCTGTTTCTCCCATCAGCGGTGCCACCTACTGTCCGACTCACCTACCAGGCCCACCTCCAGGGACATCCAGACCTGCCCCGGTGGCTGCGCTACACACAGCGCAGTCCCTATAACCCTGGCTTCCTCTATGGTACCCCCACTCCAGAAGATCGTGGACGCCAGGTCATCGAGGTGCCAGCACAGAGACATCCTGGGGGTGGCCACTGGGGCCTCCTAGGGCTGGCCCTGTCACTGGGGCCGGGCGCTTATGCATGTTTATTTGCATATAATTTGCATACGCTCCATTTGTGCCTGCTTCCCCTTAGTCCCGCTCCTCAGCCCTCCTTCCATTCCCCCAGGTCACAGCCTACAACCGAGACAGCTTTGACACCACTAGACAGCGACTGCTGCTGCTGATCGAGGAGCCCGAAGGTACCTCTGTTCCTATCCCGTTTCTCTACTGGTGCCAGCCTTGAAGAGAAAGTGTTGGGAAGCAGTGGGGAGCAAGGCATCCAGGAGAGGGCGCGTAAGGGCCGACGAGGCGTTGGTAGCTCGAGGGATGGCGTTCAAGTTGCCGACTTGGCCTCTTCAGGTCCCCGGTTGCCGTACCAAGCCGAGTTCCTGGTGCGCAGCCATGATGTGGAAGAGGTTCTGCCCTCCACACCTGCCAGTCGCTTCCTCACCGCCTTGGGGGGACTCTGGGAGCCAGGGGAGCTCCAGTTGCTCAACATCACTTCGGCCTTGGACCGTGGAGGTCGTGTTCCTCTTCCCATTGAGGGACGGAAGGAAGGGTAAGGGAACAATCCAGGAAGGCTTCCTGGTTGACTAGGGAGGGAGTGGGCAAAAAATACCCATCTACTGATTTCCGGATGACCACTGTGGTATACCTCGGTAGTGGCCATCTCTTCTCTTTACTTCAAACCAGTTCCCATTCCCTCCACACCATCTCCTCCTTGGGCTCACATCCCCATTACCCTGAACTCTGAACTTACCGGCACCCCATGAGGACGTATGAGATCCATCTGTTAAAAGTCATTTCTGGGGTACATAAAGAGTGGGGTGCTCTGACTTGGTCTCAGGTCTTGGAGGCTGTGACCTCTCCTACCAGGCCCTGATGTGTCTTCCGTGGGACATCCCTATTCCACACCCATCCTTGCCTACTGCCAGGACACCTCCGCCTCTCCCTGGCAGAGTGGTGCTGACAATGGCTTCTTTTCTCAGGGTATACATCAAGGTGGGCTCTGCCACGCCCTTCTCCACCTGCCTGAAGATGGTGGCATCACCTGACAGCTATGCCCGCTGTGCCCAGGGACAGCCTCCATTACTGTCCTGTTACGACACCTTGGCACCCCACTTCCGTGTTGACTGGTGCAATATATCTTTGGTGAGGAGGGATCCTGGTTCTAGGGTTTGAGTTTAGGGTATAAGTCTCATCAAGTCCTCTGTACCTATGATTTCTCTAGCCCAGCTTTTTTTCTCTGATAGGGTCGGTTTGGGTCTCAACCTCAGTCTGTGGTCTCTGTCGTAGACACACACACACCAAGGCACGCAGGCACGCATGCATGCAAGCATATGAAATTCTGTTTCTTGCCACAAGAGGGCGACAAAGCTTACAGTCCACATCTGGACTCCCCAGCTCTGAGTCCCAGATCTGCTCAGCAGAACAGACAGCTAAAACTCCCAAGAATTCCTAAGTCCAAACTCCAGCGAGGGGGCATCCATGTGACAGCTCTGTCTGCTTCCAGAGGAAGTACCACCAAACAAGGCTGCCTGCAATAAGGGGTTCATTGTGGCTCTTGGTGATGTTTCAAGGGACCCTGGCTGGAAGTTGTTGGTACACCCTGCTCTTGGGAACCAGCCCAGGGACTCCAGCAGAACTGAGTGGTAGCGCTGGTCATTGGCAGCCTACTGAAGGTTGTGTGCTGGGCACTGGATCCCCAGCATGTTTCACCACCGTGATTCAGGGCAGGAGTAAGCACATTACCATCACTCTGAATTCAACGAGGAAACCATGTTGAGGCAATTCACCCCGGTGAAGCACTAGCCTGACTCAGATTTCAGACTCAGGCAGTCCAAACCTAGCACCAGCACTAACCATCGCACCTCCCTGCTTCTCCTAGAAGTAGCTTCCCTGACCCCTCATCCAGTGTTCTTCCTGTAGTCACATGGGCTAGGGGAGGCAGGCAGGAAGAAGGTCTGTGGGTTACATGGGGTTGATAGGTTGGTAGCTGCCACACCTCCTGTGGGACAGTATCTTTGAGTCTACTGAGCTACCCCTGGGTCAGCTCTGGCCTCTGTTACACAGGTAGACAAGTCAGTGCCGGAGCCCCTGGATGAAGTGCCTACTCCAGGTGACGGGATCCTGGAACATGACCCGTTCTTCTGTCCACCCACTGAGGCCACAGGCCGAGACTTCCTGGCAGACGCCTTGGTCACCCTCTTGGTGCCCTTGCTGGTGGCTCTGCTGCTCACCCTGCTGCTGGCTTACATCATGTGCTGTCGGCGTGAAGGACGGTGAGTGTGCCGGCCAGGGAGGGCAACGGGCTGGTATGTCTAAGGGACCACTCTGGGACTGGGGGAGCCATACTTCTCAGGGAGTGGGATGCTCAACTATAAGAGGAATGTGGGGCCCCTTTTCTAGGTAGGGGGGATCCAGTGCTGTCTGGCTTGGAACTAGGAGGGATTCTGAATATACGCACATGGGATTCCTATATAGGAGCTCTTGGGATACCACGGAGCAAAGCCAGACTGGTACTGAACCCCCAACCTCCATTTTTTTCACAGGTTGAAGAGGGACATGGCCACCTCTGAGTGAGTAGAAGCAAAGCTGGGGGGCTGGATATGGGAGTTCCCTCCTGCCCCCGGATTGTTTTTTTTTTTTTTGGTTTTTTTCAAGACAGGGTTTCTCTGTGGCTTTGGAGCCTGTCCTGGAACTAGCTCTGTAGACCAGGCTGGTCTCGAACTCACAGAGATCTGCCTGCCTCTGCCTCCCGAGTGCTGGGATTAAAGGCGTGCGCCATTGAACTCTTCAGTATGAGCAGCAATGACCTCTGAGCCTTGGCCCTGATTGGCTGGAGGCTAAGTCCATGCCCTTCTGACCTCGTCCTCATGTGTTCTGATCATAGAGGAGGCTATTGTGCCATAGGGGAAGGGGACCTGCCACTGTACATAGGAAAGGACTTGGGAAGTGACCAAAGGCTCCCAGTGTGTATTCCTCTTCCTCGCTCCTCCTCCTGGGCTCCGTTTCATTCTTCCCTTTCTCGCTTCCCTGTTCTCTGTCTCCCTCTCCTCACCATCTCCTGCTCCTCCCCATCTTCCTCCCTCTCCCTCTTCCTTCTTCCCTCCTTCCCCACTGTGAACCAGATACCTGGCTGGCCTTTGATTCTGCCGCGGGTGAAGAGGAAGTGGCTTGCCATTAACAGATAGGGTCCTACCATGTCTTTCCAAGCCCATCTTGTTCTGCCTCAGATTCCTCCTGTCCATGGCCTCCTCCCCCACTCTGTACCCCTCAGCCCCAGGCCTAATTTTCCTACCCTCTGAACCCCAAAGATTCCAGAAGACAGTTGTGAAATAAGTTGGGCTTTTATTTCCACTTTACTGAGCTTGTGGCAAGCCTGGCGACCCGCCCAACCTGCCTTCTTAGTGGCGGCGGCCTTTGGCCACCCTACGAACTCCCTTGAAAAGCCGATTATGGCTCTTCCTGGAGCCTAGTAGTGACTGGCATGGTCCAGACTTGCGCTGCCCAGGCTTCTGCCTCTGCCCCCTCCGCCCCCTCCCCTGGCGTCTCTTGGCCTTGCTCTTGGACTTGAAGGCTTTCTTCTTACCCAGGCGGAAAGAGCCTGAGGTACCCTTGCCAGTCACCTTCTTGAGCATGCCTTTCTGCACTAGATTCTGGAGTGCACGCTTGAAGCGCCAGCTGTTGCGGTTCATATTGTAGCCTGTGGTGGTCACAGCTTTCTTCAAGGCAGCAAGGGACACACGGCTGCGCACCCCCTTGTCAGACACAGCCCTCAGAATCACCTGCGACATACTGGGTTTCCGCGGGGTTTGAGGACTGCTGTAGGGCTCAGTCTCACTCTTGCTTGGGTCCCCTGATGTGCTGGCATCCTGGTTTACAGCCACCGCAGCATTTGGGTCTGCAGATGGTGACGCCAGTGACGTGTCTCTCTGCATCTCTTCCGGAGGTGGCTGAAGGGCACTGGATGCTAGGACCTCCAGGGTGGCGGCTGGAAGTATCCACCAGATTACTCTCAGTCGTGGGTGAGCTGTGTTCTGACTTCTGCTTCCCTCAGAGGCTCCTCTGTAGGGGTCTGGGCCACACCTTCTGGATGGCCAGAGGGAGGACCGAGGATGGTCACCCACGGTTGGCCTCAGCAGACTTGTGCTGTGGGCTCAGGGACTGGTGAAATTATTTCTGCGGTGACCTCAGGGGGCCATTGTGAGGTGGGCAGAATCCTGTGGGGGTCATAGTAGCCCCATTGTCTCTTCTTAGGAGGATCAAAGGCATCAGATAGTGGGGACATCTGAAGTGCCAGATACCCTCCAGAGGAGGGCTCTGGCTGGATGGTTCACGCAGGGAATGCCCATGTATATACGGCGTATATACGCATTTCTGAACTGATTCCAGGGCACTTGGAATCCTCATGTTTGTTTATTTATTTAGCAGTGCTGCGCATGGAACTCACGGTTTCACACACACTAGGCAAGTGTTTAACCACTGAATTATATCCCCAACCCAACTCAGTTTTAAATCCACTCTTTAACTGCCAACAGTCTCTACTTTGTGTCTCTAGGTGGGAAAAATGCTAACATTTTATATTTATTGAGACAGGGCCAACTTTGGCGAGGCAGGTTGAGATAGGGTTTCTCTGGGTATCCCTGGTTGTCCTGGAATTCACTCTCTAGACCAGCCTGGTTTTGAACTCACAGTGGTCCACTTGCCTCTGCCTCCCGAGTGCTGTGACTAAAGGTGTGCGCCACCACTGATAGCAGAAACAGGGTCAAACTATATAGTCCTTGATGGGTAGGAATTCACTCTGTGTGCCTGGCTGGCCTCAAAGTTACGGTGATCCACCTGCCTCTGCTTCTGGAGTGCTGTGTGTGCCACCATGCCTGGATACATTTTTTTTAATTGATGTAGAATGCCGGCCTCAATATACAGCTGAAAATAACCTTGAACTTCTGGTTGTACAGCCTTCACCTTCCTGGGAGCTAGAAATGACTGTGCCGCCACGCACAGTTTATGTGGTACTGGGATTGAACCCAGGGCTTCGTGTATACTAGGCAACCACTTACCAACTGAACTCTTCCAGTACATTTTAAACATAAGAATTATAATTATACTTTTAAAAATATTTATTTAGGCCGGGCGGTGGTGGCGCACGCCTTTAATCCCAGCACTCGGGAGGCAGAGGCAGGCGGATCTCTCTGAGTTCGAGGCCAGCTTGGACTACAAGAGCTAGTTCCAGGACAGGAACCAAAAGCTACGGAGAAACCCTGTCTCGAAAATCAAAAAAAATATATTTATTTATTTATTATGTATACAACATTCTGCCTCCATGTATGCCTGCACGCCAGAGGAGGGTGCCAGATCTCAGTACAGATGGTTGTGAGCCACCAATTGGGAACTGAACTCTGGACCTCTGGAAGATCAGCCAGTGCTCTTAACCACTGAGCCATCTCTCCAGCCCCTATAATTATCTTTTTAAAGGAGAATATAGTTCTCAGGGTAAAATGCAGTTCCTTGGCTTATGTAAACTAATCTTCCATACGAAACTGTTAAAATGCTTTCTTAGACTGGGCCTGGTGGCCCATGCCTGTAATCCCAGCATTGTAGAGGTGGAGGCAGGAGGATCTCTCATCTCCTTCCATTGGAGGCCATTCTGGGTTCCATGGAAGCCTGTCTCAAAACCAAAAAGAAAAAACAAAGGGTTCGGGTTTTGTCTTTATTTCTTGAGACTGCATCTCTCTGGCTGTCCTGGAACTCTCTATGTAGACCAGGCTAGCTTTGAACTCGCACAGGGTTCCCCCTGCCTCTGCCTCCTGGTGTTGGGATGAAAGGCGTGTGCCACCACGGCCTGGCTGGGTTTTCTGCCTTATCTGTCTTCACTTTATAGATCTCTTCTGCTGAGATCAATAATTCTGACATACATTTCGCAAGGAGGATTTGGATAACTTTTTCGTAGCCTGTGCCAGATTTGGTCAGTTGCATTGCTGGCATTGTGGCTTTCCTCTTGTGACCAGCGTTGTCATCACCGGCCTTCCTGGTTCAGGTGGTAGCACTGATGTCAGGGAGGCCAGCTTCCCTCTTGACTGTAATCAATACTTTTGCCCCGTCTTCCAGCAGCCTTTGCTGGCCTGAGTTTTGGGTTGGCTTAGTTCTACTAGATACTTATGACAATTTCTGCTGCTTTTTAAGTGGGCCACCAGTAGTGACCCTGCTGCCTGGCTGTCCCCTGTATCAGATCTAACTGGTCACGGTGTTCTCCACACCCCAGTGGCATTGCCTTGTGTGACTGTGTGTTGGGGGCAGAATGTCTGTTGGTGTCGTATGACCACATGCGTCTGTGGGCGTGTGTTTGTATATAGCAATGTTGCCTGCTCTCCTGTCTGCCTGAGCACTTACATGAAGCCCCTTGGAACGGCTGCATTGGGTTTGCTGTCTGCTCTTTTGCTCTTCTTGGGGAGATTTTCCCACCCATGAGTTACCGGAGCGATGAGACCCAGATGTGGGGCTGGTGGTGGGAGAGGCCTTTCCCGGCCTGGGTGACTGACACACCTGCCTCCCTGGCCCCTCTTTCACACTCTTCTTGCTCTCATCCCACCACGGGCTCTCCTCCCCAAGGGATGGAATGTTGTGTTTCTGACAACTCGGTTTGTCAGATTCCATATTTAGGAGCTTAAATTACTCTGCCTGGCCTTAGACTGCGACCTCACTTCTTTTGCTGGCCAGTGGGCCCTCTGCTCCACTCCAAGGGGAGTGCCACTGTTTCTCCAGGAGGCCGCCTGTCCTTCAGTGCTCTGATCCTCAGGGTTCTTAACTGCAGCTGCTGTCCACTGACGGGGACTTGGACTCCTGGCAGGGACCCTTCCCCTACCTTATTAGTAACTGAATGACAAGGGAAGAGGCCATTATTCTGCCTGCGTGGAGCCTCGGTTTCCCTAAGAAAATCCAATTCTATTTTTTTAAAACTGTTTTTGAGATGGCTTCATTGTGCAGCCCAAGCTGGCCTCAAACTCACAATCCTCCTGTCTCAGCCGCAGCCCTAGCGGAAAACTTTATTGTCTACCAGGCAAAGTCTCTGCTCTGACTTGGTGATCAGGAATTTAGGAAAATGTTGCCAGACTAAGCCAACAAATGAGGCAGATTCCTGTAAAGGAGGCTTGAGAACAACTCCCCCTAGAGGCCAGGCAGCTTCCAGCTGGGGGGGGGGCTACAGTGAAATAAAGCTTCCTCTATTAATACCACAGAGGGGTTTTAGCAATTTGCCACAAAGCAGTAAGCAGTAGAAAGGAAACAAAGCAAGTCCTGACACTTTGCTTTGCGTGCCGGCGTGCAGGCCTGCTGCTCAGACTCACTGTGGCTTGCTCCTGGACCACAGAAAGCAAGGACCTAGGATGGTCACATGTGATTAGAGCCAGACATGAAGCTGGAGTTCAGGAAAGGCCTTCTGATGCATATAGCCACTCCCGGCTGTAGGGGTTTCCAAAGGGTGGAGCTAGGAACAGCTCAAAGGAACTCTGGTCTGAAACAGAGACAGAGAGGCAAGAATGGAGTGGGACGGGGGTGGGGGTGGGGGGTGGGGGGGTGGGGTGGGGAAGGGTCAGATATAAAGGAACAGAGACCAGGTTCAAGGATCCCAGATAAATAATGAGATCCAGAGCTTGGTGGAAGGTATCCCCAGGAGGCTCAAGAGCTGGGAGCTGGGGGATAAGAGGAGGTTAAAGACTGGGTGGGATGGCCAGGCTGACATAAGGACGGAAGGAAGGGGGAGAGGTGTTTGGAGTTGATGCTGAGGGAGGCTGCCGAATACTAGAAGGAACCAGGAGGGCCGTCGGAATATGAAAACGTCATACAGCTGGGGATGGAGCCAGGTGGGAGGGTGCGAAACTCTGTTTGATCCTCAGCACCACACAAACTGAGTGTGGCGACAAACGGCTGTGATCCTAGCAGTTGGGAGGTGGAAACAGGAAGATCAGGGGTTCAAGGTCATCCTCAATATACTCAGGATACCTAAGTCTTAAAACAAACAAACACTAGGTTTATAAGTCCTGGCCAGTAGCAGCTTCTGCAAATAATATACTCCATGTGGGTATCTGCTCCGCCTCAGCATCTTGTACGTTACCTATGCTGGCCATTTTCTTACTTCGCACAACAATCTAGGAGGATACTTATTATTATCTCCATTGTACAGCTGGAGGAAGTGGAGGCACGAAGGGGTTAAAGCCAAGAACATAGAGCTTTATAACCAGGCTGTCTGCACCCAGACCCTTGTCTCAATCACTGGGCACAAGCAGGCACCATGAATTCCCCATTTCCCCCTGCACTTACATCATGTGTTTGAGTCTCCCAGCAACTGCAGGGTGCAGGGTGGCTCTGAGGCAATCCCAGGCTAGACCCTAGAGGCCAGTTTCAAGAGCTGATGATCTTCTGCTTGTGCCTCCAGCATCCAGATGGTTCACCATTGCACCATCCATGGGAATACAGAGGAGCTTCGGCAGATGGCAGCCAGCCGTGAGGTGCCCCGGCCTCTTTCCACCTTGCCTATGTTCAATGTACGCACGGGAGAGCGGTTGCCTCCTCGAGTGGACAGCGCACAAGTGCCCCTCATCCTGGACCAGCACTGAGAGCCCTGTCAGGTGGGTCTGGCTGGGCAGTGCCATCCTCTAACCAAGAAATAAGGGAGCCTCTGTCTCAAGGCACGGGCACTTAGTGAGATACGGGGCAGGGGATCACACTGACTTGCCCATCCTCATGAACAGGGTACTCAGCAGAACTGGCATTGTGCCCCACAACTGCCAAGCATGCAGTAGCAGAGGGTCAGGATAAGGAAGGCAGGATTTTGGTGCCCTCAACCCTCTCCTCTGTCTTCCTTGTGCCCTTTTAGTTCCCGTTCCAGCTGTACCACTCAGAGCTGCTGACCTGGGACCATATCCATCATTGATTCCAGCTCCTCGCCTTCTTGGACCTCCCGCTCCAGACAAGCAGAGGGATAGGGTAGAGAGGGGTGAGGTTGCTTGAGGTCAGCACCCAAGAATAAATACCTGCTGCTCTGCTCATCTATCGCTTCTGGTGCCACGCTTTCAGTAGCTGTCACTGCGCTGTGTCCCCTTTTTCTGAGAATCCCCAGAGGCTTCCAACCTGCCCTTTGGACCCTTTCAGTTTTGCTGTTCTCAAATTCAGTGGATCTGATCATGAGGTTTGACCGGAAAGCCCCACTTTCTAGATCAGGATGCTAAAGTCTGTGGAGAGTAAGTGACTTGCCCAGTGTCACAGAGCAAGCCCTGTCTGCCCATATACTGCCTTCTCTGGAGTTGAGGAGTTTGAGAAATAAGAGATCTAGGTCTGTAATTACCTAGAGATTTGGTTGACACCTGCCACAGTTCCCGGCAGATCTTTGGTGTGAACAGTATGTTTGGGGACACCTGCCAGAGTTCCCGGCAGGACCTTCGGTGTCCACACTGTGTTTGGGGACACCTGCCACAGTTCCCTGCAGGACCTTCGGTGTGAACACTGTGTTTGGGGACACCTGCCCCAGTTTGCTACAGGACCTTCAATGTCCACACTGTTTGGGGACACCTGCCACAGTTCCCTGCAGGACCTTTGGTGTCCACACTGTGTTTGGGGACACCTGCCACAGTTCCCGGCAGGACTTCGGTGTGAATGTTGTGTTTGGGGACATCTGCCACAGTTCCCTGCAGAACCTTCGGTGTGCACACTGTGTTTGGGGACACCTGCCACAGTTCCCTGCAGGACTTCAGTGAGCACACTGTGTTTGGGGAGAAGCTGATTTTAGTATATGGAGTGTTAGGAGGTGTTATTGACTGACCAGCCTAGGCCCCAGAGGTCTGCCATTCTAGAATGTTCCCTGAGCTGAGTGTTTCCAGCGGGGCTTCTTTCCCACGAGGCTAGGCTGCAGAGGCCTGGGATGGTTTCCTCAGGTTGCCACAACTGGAGTGGGTCAGCCCTGCTGCGCTCTCTGCCACCTGCATTGTGACAGGGGCTCTTATGTGACCACTGTAGTGGGAGGACAGGCTGAGACTAAGTCTGGAAGGGGGCCTGGTAGAGAG